AGAGTCAGGTTACATTGAACGTGCGTAGGAGATCTTTTCTGACACACTTTTTTACCATTTGGCTTGAAGACCTTCCCACAGTTGCGTAACAAACAGTGAAATAGAAGATCAGGAAGTGAAACGAGAATGAATGGTCCCTGTTAGGGTGACCAGACGTCATATTTTTCCCAGGATTGTCCTAATTTTCATACCTAAAAAAATATCCGGGGGGATTTCAAAATCGTTAGGGATTTTGGTCGACTACAGTGCAGCAGAACCGAGCCGTTGGCTCTGCTTCAAATCTGGTCAACCAAGTCCCCGCTACAGTGCGAAATCAATGAGTAACGTCCAGCAATCACAAAACACGGTCCGTGGACCGCTATTGGTTCCTGACACGTCAAACGGGGTCATCTGCTTGTCCCTCCCTACTGTGCGCATACCCTAACACATGAATGAATCGACCCCCCTCTTGTGCAGGACGCCATGGCTGGAAGCTAGCCACTGTTGTGCTGCGTTCACAACTAAAGCAGCAAAAATGCGCATGCTGCTTCTTTTTTGATGCTTGTTCAAGTTTAGTTCTGAAGTGTGGCTGAAGCATATTTGCTGCTCTAGCTGCGTGTTGGAAAAGTTGGTCTGATGCGCGTTTATGCGGAGCTACCCTATCCTTTCTTTGCCTGGAACAATGGCAGCTATATTTGCTGTGATCAGTGGGTAAAAAGTAGTTTGAATCTATTTTGAATTGAGAAATTCCTCCTGAAAACATTGTCAGTACAGTCAGTTCATCCAGATTACCATCCTACCTTCAAATAATATTTCTGTCGGAGCCACTCAGACCCCCGTACACCGGCGGTGCGCTGTCACCACAAATCCCATTCAACAGCCTCCGGCCCGGTCATCTCTTGGCGGTTTGCCGCGGCGTCTGGGAGGCACTTTTCATGAACGTAATCCAAACTGCAGGAACCAGGATAATAAAAGCGAACACGCGTAGCCGGCAGATTTCGTCATTTTGAGTTAATTTAGGCATTAATAAACTGTTTCAGAGGAGTAATTATAGAGCTCTACATCAGCAGTGCTGCCTGTCCAGCTCCCAGATCGGCGATGCGTTTCTCCTGTTGCTATAGACGCGCTGTGGGACCTTTTTGCTGCGACGTGATGTGTGTCAACCATTGACTTTGCATGTAAACTAGCTGCTTTTGCCGCCTCCTTTAGGTGTGAACGTATCATTATGTTGTTGTTAGCTTGTGTTGCGAGCACTGGGTCTCGGCTTGTTTCGTTCTCGATCTGAACCGAACAGCTCGACAGACAGCATGCGCTTTCATGTGTTTAGAAGGCGTGGTTTCGAGGGGTGGTCTGAAGGGAGAGGCATGGCTGTGTATTTTCAAAAATATAGCTTGCTGGAGCCGTTTTTGCAAGATCTCCTACGGTAACTCTAAATACAAGTCAAAATTCATACCCTGTTATAAGTTATTAAGTATGTTAGTAGAATCACCTTATTACAAAAAAGTTTAAAAAAACAATTCACTGGATTTTGTTTCCATGTTTGAAGATGTTTTGCTTCCCATCCACGAAGCTTTTTCAAATAAAAATGTCAGGAATAGCATTGAGTTAAAGACTTTATAGAGTGGACTAAAAAACAGAACCTTGTTTGTTGTTTTCTAAACCAAAACAAGAAGTTAAACGTCATGCAAATATAAATGGACGAACGGGTCCGCCCCTTGGGAATGGGCAGTCTTTGGGTTCTTTGTTAGCCTGCAATACCCAATACCTGTCAATATCTTTGAAAGGGGGGTCGTTAGAGGGAATTGTTGGCATGGCTGAACAAAGAGGTGCTCTGCTCCCCTGCGTGGGGGTGGGGCAGCAATGATAGCGGGAAGGAATAAACTATATTGCTGTATTGAAACTCATTTGGAGTCCACCCCTCTGTATAAGGTTGGTTTTTCTTTTTTTATTATAGATGACTTCCTTCACACCCCTCTCAAACTATCTTCTCAATCTTCTTTGTCCAAAATATAAACATTCTAGTCCTCATAAGAATGTCTCTCTCCATAAGGTGTAGATGTACTGCCGAGTTTTGTCCCGAGGAGGTCGCTCTTCTGTGTTGGACCTTTCACCTCAGCAGACTGATCCTCCACCAGCACCACATGATTCAGCTCAATGTCTTCAAAATGCAACAGCAGTTCCTTCCGGACCATCGGGATCTGCTTGTATTCTGCGGACAGTCGGGAGCCGACGTTGGCCCGCTGCAGCTTGACTTGGGGAATGTTTGGGCGGGGCCTGACCGGTTTGATTCTGTGTTTTATGGTTTTGTCAGTGAAGCCAAGGTTGGTCTGAAGCGTCTGGTAGCTGTGATGATCGACAGTGTAAAGCAGCGGCGCCCGACAGGCTCCCTGGCAGGTTCTCAGCTTCATGTCTATGTCCACCTAAAAATATAAACAAGGCATTTAAGATATTGGCTTAATATCAAGGTTCACTTGACAAGATACAGTTCTTAGGTTCTTTTCAAAAAGACAGGTAAAAGATAGAAAAATATTTTCCGTGTGATCTCTAACAAAACGAATACTCCTCCAAAGCATCCTGGATTACCACATTAAAAGCCACCATTTGTCTCCTCACCTCCGTTCGATACAACTCCTCCACCTGTTTCCTCACACGGCTGCTCAACTCCTTCATTTTCTCCTCTAGAAACTGTGACCTCCTCTGTAGCTCAGTGAGGTTTCTACTCAGTCTGTTTGCACGCTCCACAAACCTAACCTCAGACACTAGAACCAAAAATAAAAGCTTCAAAAGTTCAGCATCACTGCAGCAGGATGTTATCTTTTTATAGAAAGTGGAAAGTAAACAGTCTTAACTGTATCTGTTGACAATGACCCTCCGGTTCGAGTTGTAGATGTCCGTCATCTCTGTCATGGACTTCTCCATCGCGTTTTCGTACATCTCTGCCTTATGACAGAACGCCTGCAGTTTTCTTTCAACGCTACTTTCCATTTCTGAGATCAAACCCTGAAGTCTGCATCCAGATGGGCATTTAGAAACCTTTGGGGGAGGAAAGGAGAGCTGGATGTAAGAATGTTGGAAGAAGCAGCTCTTAACAGAACGATAACACTGATCCAATTCAAAGGGGTGCACCACAGGGCTGTATCCTAGCCCCCCTATGTTTCTCTCTTTATAAATATATTAGTTGATCATTTGACTGGTGTTTAGTTGGAATAAATGTGATAATAAAAGATCAAATAGTAGATTTTCTTCTATTTCTATTACTTAGCATGTTTCCTGCTTGGTTTTTAAAGAACCACAGGAAGCAGCTTGCTATGGTATTACCTTCCCTTGGACATGAAACTTCTCTCCCGTCTCTTTTCAAACCCTTGCTTGATACCCACCTCTTCTCGTTGGTATTTAACACCATCTGATATCTTGACTTTTTACTTCATTCTTATTTTTATGGAAGCGTAATGGATTCAATGGAAGATAAAGGAATTGGTATATTTGTCTGAATTAACAAGATTCAAACCCAGGTTTGAATGGACAGAAAAGACAAAGAAGAGACTAAGCCATTCTCAAGCACATATCAAGGAGCTTATTTTGAGCCTGGATCCAGATTTATTTTTGATTCTGTTCATGGTGGAGAATCCTGCTTCACAGCAGCAGGTTGAGCCAAACATCCTCTAAATGTGCAGGGTCATCTTTGAGCACGCCCATTTCACTTTTCTTTCACCAGTTCAGCACAGTTCTTCCAGCAGTCCACACTTTCTCTGCTCTCTTTTTCTCATCGTCTTCTCCTTCTTTCCCATCGCTCGGCTTGCCACAGGTTTGCCTGCTGTGTCCAAACGTAGCGGCAGCAGCAACCCAGACTGACAGCAGCTCATTGGATCATTTGGATTACGTGTAATCTGGTGTCGGACGCTGCGGAAGGGCTTTACCATATTAACAGGAGAAGTGGCGCAAGTGAAATAAGACACTGTTGTCGGACAACATGCGATAATTTATAAATGATTTAAATCAGGTTGGGTCCGGATCCGGACTGCGGTCCACTAATCCGTGACCTCTGCCCTAGACTACCACTCCTCATGCTATTGAGTAATTGTTTCTCTATTGATTCTAAATGCAGCAATTCATGTCCCTGTGTGTGTTCAAAATTCTCCATCAATAAAGTTTGTATTTTATGGTATGGATCTGTTAAAGTGCTGGTCAACAGATGGTAACAGAGCAGATCCTCAGATGTAAACCTCTTACCCAGTCCTCATCTGAGCACAGAGACATATGTGATCCAACTGAGCACATCTGCATCCTGTGTGCGTGGGTTCCAGCTGCAGGGCGGCCGCCATCGTCCTGCTGTTTGAACCTCTGACACACTACGAAGGATAAAAAGTTAAACAAGGCAGAGTTCAGTTTGTCTTTAAATGAGCCTAGTCAAACAAAACAAAAATTTGTCTCTTGTTGCGTCTGAATGGACCTTTGGACCAATCAAACATATTGATCCTAAAATGTCATCATTTGTGTTTCAGTTAAACGACACAGCTTTCTAAAAGTTGTGCGTTTTTTCCCCCATTACAACATTGAAACCATGTTATTTATGTGTAAGATGAATAAAACACAATAATAAAAGTGGTTGAGATGAGGATGAGTTGCATGAGGTCACTGTGGAGCAAACGTCTGACCTGTTCCTGCAGGATGCAACCATCCAGCCTCATGCAAACACACACAGATACCTGAATCATTCTTCATCAGTTGCTGCAGCTATTTAATAAATTCTCCTCTAAGTCTGTTAACCTTCGTTATCTGAGCTGATTGAACGTCTGGAGTCAGATTTAGTCCTCAAAGCTTCTTCTGATTGAAATCCTTTTTCTATCCATCTCTGCTCTCCATGTGGAACAAATTACGTCCAATCATGACTTCCCTCCAGAAAAGACACGTTTTTAATCAGAAACAGACCTTCTGAGCTATAATAAAAAAATATAAAAACATTTAGAATGTGAAAAGATTGGACTAGAAATACTTTCCCCGCATGTGGAGTTTTCTCATGGATCATTGGATTTTTAAAGCTTCACTAAAGCAAAACCAGAACCTCATTGGGTTTTATAAATCAAGGACTCATATAAACATAAACAATGACTTCCTTTACTCCAACTGCTCCATTATTTATGGGTTCTACAGTTTTTATCTGCAATATAAAAAAAGATAATACATATAGGAATGCACACAGGAAAAAAAAGGATCTATGTTTGATATAAATATTCATTGTTAACATTTTTTAATACTAAAATAAAACAGTAAAAATTAAACCAATCAGACAGGATTCAAATAAAAACCAACAAAAGCTCTGCTAACATCAATTTTTTTATTTTTTATTTTATTTCACTTGATTATTTCTGACTTTTTTTCTTTTAGGTGAAAATGTTAAACAGACTCCAATTAATTTAGCTATTCCCCCCAAAAAAACAAAACAAAAATTTAAATTTAAATCTGCTTATTCATTTGTCATGTGTTGATTTACCTCTAAGTTTTACATCTTATGGCTCCTTTGGCTTTAGTCTAAGAAAGTAGCCTTTAAATCGGAGTTTCTGCAGAGGGTTCTCATCTAGGTTACTCTAACTCTAACAAACTAAGAGCAAACTCTGCAGAACAAAGCTGCGCTGATGTATCTTTAAATAAAGCTTTATTCAGCTAATAGACACTTTCCTGTTAATGAGGCCTTTTTTCATCCTATTCCATAATTTTCCAAACCAAGATGTCTGCACTGAAAAATTAAGAAAAAAACGCTGGATCCACCCAATAGTGATTTTCTACAGCGTCGCTTTAATTCAAAATGTCTTAATCTTTTCACTCATTGGTTTTAGATCAATTAAAACCTTAGGGGGGAATTTAGATGAAAGAGAAGCTCATCTGATTGTGCAACCTGTGGATCACTATGGTCTGTTTGATGTGTTGGTAATAATATTGTTGGAGCTTGAATGCAGAGATACGTGGAAGGCTGCCACGTTGTGAAAACTGTATTGCTCCTGAACTTTTCTGCTCTCCTCACATCTTTATGTTTACATGCCGTGATTTAATATTTATGGACGGCAGATGGGTGAGGAGGATATGAATACAGACGCGTTGTGTGCAACCTGGGCAGCAGATTATTTCAGCAAAAATGTATTTTCTGTCCCTTTGCATTCATTTTGATTAGTTCTTCAACCAGGTCCTGACCTTTGCAACCTCGTGCCTCATTTTTAGGAGGCCTGCTGTCACAAGTCAACTTAAACTGATTCTTTCAGTTATATATCAAGTCAAATTGAACATGGACGTTTTTCATGCCATTTTATTATCTACACAATATTTTAAAGTCCTACATTGAACAATCATTTTGAATCAATAATACATGTTTAGTCAGATCCAACAAATTGATTTTTTTCATCTTCAGTAATATTCTGTACATATTATATTAACCATGAAATGATGACGTTAAAGTCACAAGAGGTGTTTAAATTGATTAGGATTTCCTCTTTTAAGTGTAGTTTGATATATTTTTCAATATGTTTAATTAAAAAGTGCTTACCTTTAACTGCTTTAATAAAATGAAGTCTTATTATATTGTATAAACATTCATCAAAGTACGCTGGTGGAGATCCTGAGTCATTGCAGCTCCTATACAGGAGAGCGGAAGACCTCGCCTATTCAGCCAGGCCAACAATTCCCTTTAATGACCCCCCTTTCTAACACATAGATGGGTATGGGGCATTGCAGGCTAACAAAAGGAGCAGAAGACCCCCATTCTAAAGGGGTGGACCCCTTCGTCCGTTCCAATTTGCATGTTTTCAAAACAAAACAAGGCTTTGTTGGGCTACTGTATAAAACCTCAATCTCAACGCTATTCCTGACATTTTGAATTGAAAAAGCTTCCTGGATGGGAAGCCAAACGTCTTCAAACTTGGAAACAAAGTCCAGTGGATTGTTTTTAATTTTCTCCTCAAACTATGAAACTAAACAGTGCTTTAACTCTTGAACTAGTTTGAATTAGTTTTGAAATGTAGGACACCTAGGCTTTTAAATAAAAGGTTGCAGATTCTGATACTAAACGAAGATTCCTTAGAGCAAAGAATGGAAATATTGGTACGCTGAAAAAAAGCTATTAAGGAATCAAATATTGGTGATAAACTAAAATGCTGATACTGAAAATGGTAGAAATAAGTTCTGAAAGTATAAGCATTTAAAAATGTCAGTGTAGCATTATTAGATCTTTCCACATTTAGGTTTCTTTTCAAAGAGCTGGAAGATCCCTGACTTTCTGTACTGTCAGCCTCTCCAACGTTTTCTATGAAATGTTGAGAGTTGGATAAAACAGGACAGCACACAGCAGTAGAAGTGAACTCGTGTTTATTAAAACATTGATCCTTACAGAGTCGGGGTCACTTTCAGAACATTGGACAGTTAAAGCTAACAAACAGGTCGATACAGTACATCACATTGTTTGAGGTTGTGTTGAAATCTCAAAATGATTGACCAACAGGTCAAACAGGAGGGGAACCTTCACTCATGTCCTCGTTTCTCTCTTTATTGAATAAATGAACAAATGTCCGGATTGTTTGGATCAGAAAGCGGCGGGTCGGATGAAAACCCGAGCCGCCTTCAGGCTGTAGGTGTCCGGTTTAAATGTCCCCCACACCACGCCGTTGGCAGTTTTATACGGTGACTGAGTGTGTGGCTCGTATGAACCTTTGTAATAAACCCCGTTAAGGTTGGCCGTCTGGCAGCTGTTGTACCACCATCCGCCCCCGTACGCCTCCGCGCAGCTCTCCCCCCACCCGTCATTGTCTCTGTCCAAGGTGCTGAATTTCATACCGTTGTGGGGTCCCAGGGCGTCCCCGGCGTCTCCGGTGTACCCGGATACCTGCAGGGGGAACCCGTCCTCCTCGGCGCCGACCCTGACCGTGTACTCCGCGGTAGCCACGCCCCCCTCCCAGTCCTCCAGCTCCACCTTCATCATGGTTTCCTGCTGCTTTGTCAGCAGGTGGAGGTTCTGGTTGCCCAGCCAGAACTCTCCTTTCCCCTGAGCGTCCACCGAGCCGAACCCGTTGCGGTACTCGGCCCAGGTGCGGTTGAAGCTGATGGCGCCGCTCTCTCTCTGCTGGACTAACAACCACCCACCCATTATCCCCTCCTGGTGGCAGTAAACCTCCACGGTTGCCGTGGAGCCGGCGGGTTTGATCTTAAAAAGGCCGTTCGTTTCCCCGTTCAGGTGCTTCTGGTAGAGGTCGACGCAGTCTGCGGACAGAGGGGCACACATCGAAGACCGCCGGTTAGCGTGGACCACCTTTGGAGATGCTGGTTGAGACTTACTGCAGAGACTAACACACTAACTGCCTCCTCCAATAACTTCAAACTAAAATATTCTCCTTTCTCTACACTATTTAGACCAATGAGGACATGTCAGGTTTTTCTTTGTTACAGAAATGGTCAACGTTCGAGAGATAAAAACTGATATTTCCCAGGTTTAGGTGAACACCCTGGGTCAGGAGCAATCAAAAACAAGCTAGGCTTCTAGAGAAATAGTTTGTTAGCTTAAAATAGTTTTTATTATGGAATAAACACTTACAATACATCTAAAAATAACGTTTGACGTCACAATAAACGTGGAAATCTGGAAACTCTAGGACCAATAAGATGGCAGCTTTGAATTCACTTCTTGTTTTTGTTACATATGGCTAGCTAACAAGCTAGCTACCTAGCTGTCCTCTTCCTTCTCCATTCCTACAGATCTTACTCTAGGTTGCCTGTTTTAGTACCTGTTCCTACAAAATCCTGTTGCCTTTCGACAACCGTGCTCTTCACACTCCGAGCGTGGAAGTCAGGAACATCGTCGTCGGAGTTGTCGGTCAAGAACGCGCCGAAGTCAGCTCCAAATGGATCCAGGCCGGATTTAGAATCTGCCAGGAGGCTTCCCTTTGTTCCACCAGAATGAATTGCAGAGAAGGAGGAGGAGGAGGAGCCAGCGAATGATGGGAACAAAGAGCCCATCTCCCCCTTTGTAAAACCACCGACTCCCTCACATTCTGGTCCACTACCCACTTCCTCCACTCTTTCAACCGGCCCATTAGGTGTTTGGATGATGGTCCTCCTGACGGTCTTTGTACAGCTGACCGTTTTGGTGCTTGAATGGCTAATGCTGGGCTGGCTTTGTGACCCTTCAAACCCGCCGAAAAAATTGCCGTCTCCACGTCCTGAGAGTTCAGTGATGGATTTAGCAGAGGACGGGGAGGTGGAGGTTGCCGAGGAAGAGAATGAGGAGGACGACGATGAGTGTGATGTACCTGGGCCCTTGGAGATAGTGGCTGGAGATGAACTGGAGCCTTCCTCCTCTAAGACAAACTGAACAGTGTTTACCTGGAGACAGAGGAAAATACATTTAAAAACAAGAGCAACCACTAACTTCTTTCAAAAGGAACATCGGTTTAAAATCTATTACTCAGCTCATGTAAAGAAAAGCTAGTCAACAATCTGCTAAGTGATTTAGAATTTTGGTAAGAAAAGATGAGGAAAGCAAAGTATGTAATGATGTAAAACATAGTGAGAAACTTTCCATGGGTTCCACTGAGAAGTTTAGATATGAATATTTTTTTAGTTCCACTAATCAATCAGCCAATCACTGGAATAACACTAGCTAATACTGGCATTAGCATGTTAGCACAATCAGGATGAGTCTCCAGCTTTAACAACAACAAGTCAGGAAACCTGAATTCATAATTCATAATAAATTCAACCAATGAGTATAACCTCAGTGAAAACCTTTTCTAAATTGGAACTAGCATGGCAAGCTAACCCCTAGCTAGGAGCTAACATGGCGGTCAGACCGGTGGATAACCATTTATGGGCATTAGAAACTTGTGCTATAACTGAATTATTTTCACTTCCTAGTTATTAATTTAATCTAAAGTAAAACTAAATACTAATTCTGGGACAAGAAGACTGTTTTTCTCCGATTAAATCGAAAAACAGAGGGATTCATTTTCCACCTAAAGCAACAAGCTAACAACTTTTATAATTGATTACTTAAGATCCATCCATCCATCCATCCATCCATCCATCCAAATTTCAAACATAAAAATAGAAATTTCTAACAATATCATTCACTACACTTATTTTAATTTTATTTTACACTATTTAACTACATCTAGTTTATTTATGCCTAAAAAAATGAAATAAAGAAAAACATCTGGAATTGATTTTAACGTTCTGTGTCGATTTATAGGAAACGGAATGAGTTCTTTATGAGTAAATATCTTTAATTAATGTAAATTGGTGGTTTCTGTAAGACACACGGATGCTGTATAGCACTGGTTTACCAAATCCATCCGTAATGGAAGGTGATGTGCACATTTCCCCTAATTTGAATCTAAAGAATGGTTCTTTAGCAGATAATTGGTGGCATAGAGATGAAGAAATCCATCTTTTTTTTTTTTATTAAAAAACATTTTTGTGATGTTTCCATTTAAAAACAAGCTTTTTGAGAGTTGTGTCCCTCACCTGAGGGAACATGTCCTCGGTCTGTTGAGCTGCCACATCCTTAGACTTGAACCTGGAGTCAACAATCACATCCTTCAGAGGCCGGCTCTTCATCACATACATGGTCCCCACTGACTGGAGGCTTTGGGTTTCATAGGACTCCAGCTGATTGATCTGAGACGGTAAAAAAGGTGAAGCATTATTAATATCATAGAATTAAAATACAAAAAATTTCACATGGCAGCACAGTTTGTAAATGTTGTGACTTAAGATTCATACAACATTGTGGCTCAAAGGTAACAGATTTTACTCCAAAAAAAAAGAAAGATAAAAAGATATTTTTTTCCAAGTTTGAAGACGTTTCGCTTCCCATCCAGGAAGCTTTTTCAATTCGAAAACTTTTTTTAACTTTCTTTTTTTGGAATGACTATGACCTGGATGACTGGTAATCTTCACCAGCGAACAGATTTCAATGTTGGTAAACCAGAGGAAATCTCTGATGTATGAAGTGGGATTAGAGCCAGTAACAGAAAAATAAATACGTCAAAAATTCTGATTTATTTTCTCTCTCACAAAGTCAGAATTCTCAGATTAGGTTGAAGATTTTTGTTATTTTTTTCATTATATATGTTAGGTTTTGCTTTTTTGTGGAATTAGTTTCTGGTTATTTTAAGAATAACTGTGTCTAAAGAGAAACCAGTTTTATTTTGCACACATTACAACTTAAAACTCACTACACTATTTAACTAAATACACAATTTAAATCCCTTTATTTAAATACATTATAGAAATTATGCAGATACCACTGACTAAGACAAAGAAGTCCTGAAGGCTGAGATCTTCAGTCTGTCACACAATCAATCAATTAATTTTATTTGGCCCCAAAAGGCAAATGGTTGTGCAGCAGAGAAAGCAGCATCGTCAAATACGCATATTGGTTTAAAAACATACATGTATCCTTTACCTGTTTATCCAGACCCACATAACTCTCTCTATCCACCTGGTAGTTTGTGTGAATGGCACAGGAGCCTTTGCAGGAGCGCAGCTTCATGTCAATATCAACCTAACAAAAAACAAAACAAAAAATACAGACTTGATTTCTTAAACATCAAAGACATCCAGACAAAGCTGGATAAAAAAACAAAAAGAAAATTATTTGTATTACATGTCATGAGCCCTAAGATGCCGGTATTTAACCAAAACTGTAGTTCTGGTTTATTGATTTTAGAAATCAGTGAAGCTAAAACTGATTTATTCTTATTTCATTAAAAAGATGGCATGTTGTTAATCACTTGTATCCATCTCAGTTAATTGATTTTTCTACTGGACTTCCAGCAATCAAATATGTTCTATAGGTCTTTGATGCTGGAAGGCCTGATTACCATCACTCTAATCTTTAAATGAGATTCCATTCAGGAAGTAGACTGTTCTCGTCTAAATATTATCACTTCCAGTCAGAAGCAACAGGTTGGTGAAATTAAAAGATTTTTTTTATTAATGGGATGACGCTTAACTGTGTGGCTTAGCTAAATGTGAACAAAAAAAAAAAAAACGGACCAGAAAAAAAAGGATTTTTCAGATATTTCAACCAAATGATTGTTTCTCCACTTACCTCTATTTTCAGCATCTCGGCAACCTGGTCTTTGACCCTGTCCCTCAGGGCGGCCAGGGTCTTCTGCTGTGTGTCGATCCGAACCTTCATTTCGGTGATCCTCTGACGCAGATTCTGGGCCAGGTCATAATACAGGTTGTCGTTTCCTGGAGGAAAAAAAAAACCCGTCAGGATTCAGCATTATGTGTTGTAATTTTATTTTAAAACTTAACTCTAATACTAATTTAAATAAAATGTTTGCTACAAGGCCTTTAAATGAAACGAAACCTGAAATAATGCAGTATAGATATTGTATAATGTAAATAGAAGCTATAAATTTCACCAAGCACTTTAACACATTTAGAGTTTCATGTTTTTTTTGTTACATAGGGGGGAAAATCTGATTAGATAGTGACCAGAATCAAGGGTGAGTTTCTCCCTCAGGACGTCGTAGGTCTGCTTGGACACTTGGTCGATGGAACGATGCTTGGCCTTGTGCTGATCCAGCAGGTTACGGATCTTCTGGATCTTCTTTAGCAGCAGATGATCCTGTTTATCTATCAGACCCTGGATCCTGCAGCCGGACGGGCACTTAGAGTTCTGATGGAGCACAGATACAAATAAGAAACTCTCAACAAAATTAAACCAAAAATATTTACTGGAGTTAAATTTTGAAAATAATTAAATGCAAACGTTTTCTCAAGATATATCGAGCATATATTAGTTTCACTTTGTGTGCATGTTAAGTCTAAAAAGCGAGGCAAATATAAATAATTATAATACTGCTTTCCAATAGGCTTTTTCCCACCAACTGTAATCATATTAAACCTCTAAAAAAATAAGCAAAATGAAACAATAGGAACTTTTTTTGTTCCCAAACAAAAACTGAGACCTCCTCACTTTATCTTGTGTTTTTGGGAAAAAAAAAAAAAAAAAAAAAGTCTAACAGCTTTCTAAGCTGGTTACAAACCACGGTATAAACAATGGGTGTGATAGAGTTAAAATATTTTATTACATTAACCTCAGGTTTCAAGAATATTTTTGCAGATTCGAAATGGGATTCTTTGAAATCTCAATAACTTTTTAAGAAATGACAAAAAGAAGAAATATGAAAATTAATGTATTTCAGCGGGAATCCATATGAATGTGAATTAAGTATAAATTTAGAAGAGATTTTAAAAATGTTAAAACAATAAGGAAGAATTTTAAGGGCTTTTGGCTAACAAATTAGCCTTTTACAGCAATTTACCTCAAGCTAACTCAGAGACTAGCATCTATCTAACTAATAGTTCTTTATGCGAAACCTCACTTTTAGAGATTAAAAAGTGATTCAGGTTAAGCTGTAAAGTTGCTATTCTTGTGGAATTAATTTAAAAGAATAGAGCACTATTTACCTCAGAAATAAAAGGCAGTAAATCTGCACAGAATTTTAATTTTGTGTTTCACTGAAGCGGTGCTAGCATAAAAAGCTAATGTCTTCTTTTCTTAAACAACACTCATAGTGGCTTAGGGGGATTGATATTAACAGAGACCCCAAAAGCAAACAGCAATTGTAGAAAAGATCCATTAAGACCAAATCATTTCAAAAACATGTTGTGACTGAAAACTGATATTAGCTTAAAGTCGTAGGGAAGCGCCTGTTCCAACCGTTGCATTTCTGAATTCTCCCAGGTGATGCACAACTTTACACAAGTGAATGAAGTGAATGTGATTGGTCAGTTATCAAGGGGGCGGGAGTGTTGTGGTGGAAGATTTGAAAGCATGTTTGGTTTTGGCGGGTTTGTCGGAAGCATCTTGCTAACCAGTTAGCAACCTATTGCTAGTAGGTTCCCAATGGAAAATTCCATTGGGACCAAGTAGCACTAAATTGGTGACTTAAAAACAACACTGTCAAGGAACGCTATGGACAGCGGAAACATGCAAAAGGAGGAGAGTTTATTGTCGGAGGTCGTGGATGAGTCTCCTCCATCATCCATTTTTTATTTAGAGGAGGAAAGCGGGGATGAGGATGTCGTGGAAGAGGACGCCAGACGTCCATCCCCGTGAACACTGGGACGTGTCTCAATGGGAAAGGAAATTATTCTTATTTTAACCGTTGCGTATATTAGCTGCGATACATGAATCAAGATACTATGACCGAAAAAATCTGATTGACAGATGATGGTTGATTTATGATTGGCTGAATTTAGGCCTGCATAAGATCAAGAAAAAAAACTAAACAGATTTTAAGACAGTATTTTTTTTATAGAAAATCTTTCACTTTTGTGATAATGTGGTCTGATAGAGTACATTTATATACATGTTTAAGCCAAATGGTTTGAATTTTGAATATGATTTCCCTACGACTTTAATGAGCAAACGAAACTTTAAGCTGGGAAGATCAATTGGAATTAGAAACATGCTTTCAAAAATGTAAAGCAAATGTTGATATACATCTGTAAGCAGGAGTAAATAAATAAGTATTTTGTTAATTTATTAGGTTAAATATATATATTATCTATTTTCTATTATTTAACCTGTGGTAACCATTGACTATTGTAACTAAGTTAGTTTGGCACTCTGTGAAGTCGGATACTAATCTATGTAAAGCTAACTGAGTCCTCATTTGACCATTTTCATGATGCTCAAAATGTTTTGTTTTTTGTTTTTTTTTTAAACCATGAACGTTAACACAAACCATCCATAGAAACAAAACTTGAAGAAAGTCTTTTGTATTAAATATATCATGTTTAATATATATATATTTTTCGATATATGAAGTGTAGAGATAAAACAGGAGGATTTACCCAGTCATCGTCTGTGCAAAAAGGCCACTCCTTCTGGGTGGCACATTTTTCATCCCTGGTGGCGTGCTCCACGGGACG